CGCGGCTCCCACCCGGCCGCCTCCACGGGTCCCGGCAGCGCTCACCGTCTCGGGGAAGTTTCTGTGCGGGCCTGACGGCCGTCAGGTGAACTCCAGCGGAGCTCGCGCGGTACGAGGCTCGCCCTCGGCGGAGCAGGGTTCGCTCAGCTTTGCTCACGGACGGGAGTGAGCGCTGCCGAGTTCCCCCAGTCGCATCCCGCCCGGGCACTTGTCCCACTCGCACCCTGTCCGCCCGTGTTAACTTCTGCGCAGCTCCCCTTGCAGACTTTCCCACCCGTGAGGGGCAGGCTCCGGTCGTCGTCCTGGGGACTAACAGCGCCCGCCTTCAGCAGGTGGGCGGCTCTGTCCACCCCGGCGCGGGGGGCTTCAGCAGAGATAACTTTGTCCCAGGACGGTTTCTGCCCAAAGCGGTTTTCTCTGCCTGTCTCTCCCTCTCTGCCTCTCGCTTTCTCTTCCTTCAGAGCCGGGTCCTCGAGTTTCCTAGGAAACCTCTGAAGATCATTCACTCAGGAGAGCCCTAGTTCTCCGTTTCTGTAAAGCCCGAGTAGTCTTCTCACTACGACAACCAGGCAGATGAGGTGCTACACACCTGCCGGTCCAGCCATCTTCACTGTCCAGGAGTTTGTTCTCCACAGAGCTGGGGGACTGTACCCACCTCAACCTTACAGGCTGCCCTGTGATAGCTCCCTGCCATCTTGTCTCCTCAGCCTAGATTTGCCTGTACTTAAGCTAAAGCTCTACACTTAGGGCATGTACTTGGCCAGTAAACATTTTTGTGTTATGATAAAGAGTTCTTGAGGTGTTCCCCCCCTCCCCAACATTTCGGGATAGAGAGAAAAGCATTTTCCCCAGGAACCAGGATGGAGATTTTTATTTACTTATTTATTTTGAAACAGGTAGACCAGGCTGGCCTTGAACTCACTATGCAGTCAAAAATGACCTTGAACTTTGGATAATTCTGCCTCCACCTCCTAAGTGGTGGGATCAGGGGCTGGACCTCTATGCTAAGTTTATTTATTACCAGGGCTCAAACAGGGCTTCTCTAGTAGCTGAGGCACATCCCCAGCAAAGGTGATTTTATATAAACAGTATGTGTGTGTTTACAGCTCTTGAGCTGAAGAGTCTCAGTGTCCAGGAATAGCCTCCTAAACGGCACTTTACATTTCCAGCTTTAGTTCCTGGGGTCACTGTGTTTGGATCAGCAGATAACAGGGAAGAATTTTTAAGATGGAGCCTTTAACTGGTTGAGTCTTTAGTCTTGGTCATGAATCTGTTTGGAAGGATCCCTCTGAAACTCAAATTTGAGGAATGGAAACATTGAGTTTTGGGTGTTGACTTTCTGAGTCTAGTTAGTGCCCTGCCTTAAACATGATCTCTGTTGGCAGTCTGTTGTATTCTGACTCTGTTGGCTAATTCTGGCAGTTTCCCCTCTCTTAAAGATTTTGTTCCCTTGAAGACCTGTGTACAATCGCTTCTTGGTTCTGTGCCTACTCGCCTTTCTCCTCGGATGGGACTGTGTTTTTAGTTTCTGCTTACTATCATTCATCTCTGCAAGTTTGCTTCAGGCTCTTACTTTTTATAGTCACTTTCACAATTTACATATGTTCTTGTGGGTATGTATTTAGGTGTTAACAGTATCCAGAGTAAATGCTGAATCACTAAGGAGAATTGTCCTTTAGTGTTTCATGTTTGAATTTATATTGATAATTCAAATAAGTCAATTTAGAATATTTTGATATTAAAACACCAAGACACAGTGAGATTATATTGTAAAGGAACAGAAAAAAAACCCTGTTTTAAAATATTTACTTATGTGTCTTCTTCCTTTAAAACTTAGTAAATTGTGATTCTTAAATTTAATTAACATGTATGAGTGTTTTGCCTGCATGTATACATATATATAAGGGCATGTGCATGCCTGGTGCCCACATAAGTCTCCTGGAGCTAGAGTTGTCGATGGTTATAAACCACCACGTGGGTAATGGGAACCCAACCTGGTTTCTCTACAAGAGCAGCAAGTGTTCCTAACCTGCGCTGTGCCATCTCTATAGCACCTCTTCTTTACACCTTGAGACAGTCACACTATGTAGCCTTGACTGCCTGGAACTCTGTAGACCATGCAGGCCTCAAATTCATAGCGTTTATACCTACCTCTCTCTTAGATTTCATTTTTTTTTAAAGTTAGGTTAATTAGGTCTGGTGGCACATATATATATAGTGCCACCTATATATAATGCCACATTATATATATAGTGCCACAAACCTATAATCCCTTGTGAGTCGGGGGCAGGAGGAATGCTGATGGTTTAAGACTAGTGTGAGCTACATGGAATGTGTGAGTTAAGCCAAGGCAGTGCAGAGAGACAGTCTAAAGTGTGTGTGGTGCACACACGTGAGTGCACAGGTGTGTGTGCCTGTTGAGTGCATGAAGAGACCAGAAGAGGATGTCAGGTGTCTTCCTGTATCACCTCTGCCTTGCTTCCTTGAGACAGGTCTTTCAGTGAATGGGACTTGCATTTTGGGGAGGTGGGCCAGCTAGCCAGTGGGTTCTTGAGATCTGCTTGCTCTGCTCTCCAGTGCTGGGGTTACAGACATGCTCAGCCATAGTGGGCTTTTTATGTGGGTCCTGAGGATTTGAATTCTGTTTCTCATGCTTTGCCTACTGAGCCATCTTCTCAGTTCCTCAAATTTTTTATTTAAAAAAAATTTTTTAACTGCTTGAACTACGTCAAGTCAGAATGTGGTGGTGTAACCTGGTTTCACATTCATTATTGATCTATTTATGTCACTGTCTGTTTCTGTTTTCTACTCTTCTAACACACAGACAGGTGTACTCAAGTGAGATTCTTCAGGGCAGAGACATTGTGGAGGGTAGGCAACGTATGGCTATGTTGCCATTCTGACCCAGGTTCTTAGACTTAAGTGATCCTTCCACCCCAAATCTCCAAAGAAGCTGGGATTATGGGTGTGTGCCACTGGGCCCAGCAAAGGATATTTTAAAATTCATCTCTTTCCCCAATCTTTTATTTGGAAGAAAGTGATTAATAACTCTTGTTGTCTATGCAAAAACTGCTAAAGGGCTCTTTGACAGTTATGAAGATTAGCCAGATGCTGGTTTCTGCCTCCAGCGATTAGATGATCAGTTTGGAGTAGGTTCACCCATTTATATTCATTCATTCATTCATTCAGAGAGAGAGAGAGAAAGAGAGAGAGAGATTGTTTTGAGACAGGGGCTTTAGCCCTGAGTGTCCTGGAACTTTCCTGTAAGCTTGCCTCCACCTCCCGGGTACGAAAATTAAACAAATATGCTATGCAAAGTTTTTAAAAATATTAGATGTAACACACTGCATTTGGTTGGTTTTTTAGCTTTTTAGCCCTATCACTTAAAGAGAAATAACAAATTGGAGAACAATGTGAAAAATGTTTTAGTTTATACTTCACTTCCCTTTTGAATGCTTGCCACAATCCTTTCTTTAGGAAAAGATTAAAATGAAATTTTGCCTTCTAGAGATGATAGACTACTAAATTAAGAAAATGAGTGCCATTTTTAGCTTTGCCGGTAGATATGGCAGTGAGTAAAATCTTTCGGTGTCTGCTTTCTTAGCCTTAAAAAATTGATCTACATTAGTTAAGAGCTCCAACTGCTCTTCAGGAGAACCTGGTTCAATTCCCAGCACCTGTCTGCTAGCTAACAGTGCTCTATAAATCTAGTTCCAGGGAATGCAACCCCATCTTTTGGTCTCCCCAGTCACTGCACTTAAGAGGTGCAGATATAACTTGTAGGTAAAACACCCATACACATAAAATAAAAAATAAGTGAATTAAAAATTATTCAACAAATAATGTTGAGCATCTGCTTTCTGCCAAGCATTAGTCTATCTTAGAATATACCAACAAACAAAATAGTAACTTTTGAAACTTAAAGACAAAAACATGGAGCTTGGATTTTAATAGGGGAGTTTGAAGGCTGTTTAATACTTTTCCAGCCCCAACATTCTGTTTTGTAAGTCTTACCCGACACTGTGCTGATTTTCCACAGTATTTAGTACGGCACAGCCTTATGTTTCTCCTTTCAATTGTTTTCTTGTTGATGAGTAAAATTCAAATAGAAACATGATGGTGCAAGCTAATCTTAGCATGTGGGAATCTGAAATAGGATTATTGTGAATTTGAGGCCAGAATGGCAGCAAAGTAAACTGCAAGTCTGCCTAGGCTACAGAGAGCTTGTATCTGAAAAGAGCTATATGCAGGTAATGCAGAGAGAGGGAGAATTTCTTTCCTAGGGATGAACCCCCTAATTGGTTATTTAATACCAAGTCATCAGCCTGAAAAACATGCGGATGAGCTATACTAAATGAACTCAGCAGGTTGTGTTTACATATTTATTCATTTACATATATGTGTATGTCAATAATAAGAAAAGAAAAAGAGGCCATGAATTAGAGGAGAGGAGCTGGACATGAGAGGGGCTGGAGGGGAGTGACTGGGGTGGGAGGGTGGGATGCGGAAGTGATGTAAATACAGCACACATACGAAATTTTAAAAAAATTGGGAAAAGAAAAAACTTGAATGAGAAAGATCCGATGTTTGCTTTTTGGTAGATTATAGAATAGAAAAGACAGGTAATGTTTTCTTTTTTTTGAGCACTTTGTATCAAACCTGAGCCTTATGAATGCTAGGCAGCCAATCACTCTACCACTGGGTATTTCCTGATATGCAGCCCTGCTGACCTACACTCAATAGAGATAAGTGTGGTGCAGCCTCCCAGAATGCTGGGAATAAAGGTGTGAACTATGCCTGGCCTAATAAATTCTGTCTTAGTTAAGGGTTACTATTGCTGTGATGAAACACCATGACCTAAAACAAGTTGGGAAGGAAGGGTTTTATTTGGCTTACACTTCCATGTTAATGAAGAAAATATCAATCAATGAAGGAAGTCAGGATAGGAACTCAAAACAGGGAAGGATTCTGAAGGCAAGAGGTCATCCAGAGGCGGTGAAGGGCTGATGTTTACTGGCTTGCTGAGCCTACTTTTTGATAGAACCCAGGACCACCTGCCTAAGAGTGACTCCACCCACAGTGAACTCACTGCCATCAGTACTAATTAAGGAATTCTACATGCTTGCCTGCAGCCAGGTTTTATGGAGGCATTTTCTCAGTTTTGGTTCCCTCCTCTGAGATGACTGTAGCTTGGATCAAGTTGATGTAAAAGTTTTGCTTGCCTTAAATCCCTTAAATATCCTGGTGGCAGAGGCAGACAGAACTCTTGCGTATGTAGTTCCAGGACAGCCCAGTCAAGGATACACAGAGATGCTGTTTAAAAAAGCAAAAC